CCTGTGGGGGGGGACGAGGGGAGGGGGAGGCCATCAGTCCAGGTCCCTGAGCGGAAGCAGGCCCCTGAGAAGATTGAGGCCCCGGGTCTGGGTTCTTGCTCATGACCGTTTCACAGGGAGCGCCTGGGGCTGCGTGGGGGCCGGGGGCACAGTGGGGCTCTGCAGGGGCCGCGGGAGTCTTCTGGTGGGACGCTGCACGTTCAGGTTCCTACAGACAGAATCAGGAAGAATCAGCATGATGAAAACATGTGGGGTTTCCCTTTCCTGAAGTGTTCTATAGGTTTGTGTGCATGTAAATGGTCTGCAAAGGATACCATCCCTGTGTTCCCTCCAGAGGGAGATTTCTCCCACACGCTCCCCCTCTGCCTGAAACGCCTCCAATGGAGGATTTACTTCCTTAACATGGTGACATAACTATGTAAAACTTGTGCTTCTATTGGCTAGCGCTCCAAGACATTGTACATGATAGGGTAAAGGTTGGGACATCTCTAAGCGGTTGACCAATCACAACAGAGCCGGCCTCCTAACCAATCAGAGCAGACTGGGCTTTGGTGTGCCTTGGCAGTCTCAAAGAGGTGCTGCAGCACAGGCAGTATGAGAAAAATAAAGAGCTTTTTGAACATTAAAGCATTGAGACATGTCACAGTAGAGACACTGAATACTAATATGAACCTGAAAATGAGCATGAAATATCGTCTCTAAAACTTGAGCTCACCTTTCCCTCATAGATGATGAGCAGTGAAGAGGAGTAGAAGCGGTAGGAAGCCTGCCTCTCCAGCACCTCCTTCAGGCTGCGCAGCTTTTTCAGGATCGGCTCAAAGAGGTCCTGCCTCAGACCCTTCCCGTTGTGCATGTACTGGAAGAGTGCCTCGCGGAAGCCTTCGATTGACAGGCCGCGGCCGTAGTACTTGTTCCTGCAGAGGTAGTGACCGGTGCTCAGCTGGTACACCTGCAGGGACACAGAGTGGGAACAGTCAAACACCTGCTGCTGACGGCATCGGTACAAATGTTCATATTTAAGATTAGACATTTGATGCCTTCAGTTGTTCAATCAGGGTTCGAAGGGGTTACTTTAAAAATGTATTCTGTTACAAATACTAGTTTCCTGTAAAATATGTTGTATCAGTAACCTATTCAGGCAGTAGTCTATACACCAACAATGAAACACATGAGCACATACTACAGTTTAAAAAAGCAGAAAGTCTGAGCTGACAGAAAATTCTCTAGTTTAATACATACAATTAAGCTCACACAAACTCACGTATAGGTTTTTCACCAAGCAGATTCAGGCAGTAGGCGTATAGACACTTAAAAGTGTTAACCTACAGAACAGTACAGCTTATAGATAAGTAATAACAGTAATCTGATAATATCTTTCTTTTATGTTACATGCGAACCCTTACTCCCCAAGCAGTCATTTTGCAGTCGGTGTTCCAAAACTTTCCATGATATCAAATTCACAAACTTTAAGAGTTCATTTCAGGCACAACCTCACACAGCAGAGTTGCATGTAAGGTATGTCTGTAACAACAATGTTTTTATTTGGACAAGCGTCTATCAGGCAGGTGGGGCGTTAAAAATGTTGCAACTTCAACTAAAGTTTTACTCGGTTTTTTTTTTATAAAAAATTATTTATATTTGTTTTCTTGCAGAAAATATATACATTCAACATTCAATGACCCATGTCTGTGTATGTACATTTAAGTATTTTCAAAGACTAATGTACAAACCTAAAGGATTTCAAATTGACATGTGCCCTACAGAGAAAGGAGCCTGTATTACTTCGCCCTTCATCCTCAGCTGATCATTGTAAAGGCGTTACTGTACCTGCATGCCACACACTCTGACTCCCAGCGTGGCTGAAGTGCTCTGTTCACATTTCTTCATCTGCCGGGCCGCCTTTTCCTCGGAGGCGTCGTCTCCGTGCTGCCTGGTGCCCATCTTCAGATCCAGGATGCAGGGGTAGGAGAAGTGATGAACCACGTTCTCCAACAGCAGAAACTCTGGTTCAAACGATGCGGTCAAGGAGCAAACTTTTCTTTCTAAAACAAATCATTCCTGATCTTCTCCACCCATCTTGTTATATGGGCGTGGAGAAGATCACACAACAGATTATTATGCTTTGCATTTAATTCAGAAAAAAAACCGAAATAAAATATGGTAACAATTCTAGAAGCACAAAGAAAAGTGTACAAAGGTCCAATAAGGAATTATAATTCCATTCTTTGACCATTTTGTTCCACATTAACCTCTGCAGCAAATGTTGAGTTTGATCTTAGCAACTATTTAAAAATGGTAAATTAAAAGAGACTGAAACGCATAGGCGGCGCGTGAGGCTCAGGTTTGGGAAGGCTAAATAACTTTAGCCTTCCCAAAGTTAGCCTCCGGCGTCTATAGAAAATAGATCAACTCAGTGAAAGCACCGCCTGCTGACCAATCAGAGCTCAGTGTGCGGAGTTTAAATCTATCAAGTCATATCACAGGATAAAGGAAATACCGTTTAAACTGCCGTATGCAGAGAAGACGCCGAGGTGTCGCACTTTATCATTCATATAATATCAAATATATCACATTTCCTTTTCAGAGTCAGCTTCTCGAGCCGTATGTGGCCGTGCATCACCTACATTGTCACATACTGTATGCAGAAGTATTATTTTAAGCAACACATTAAGTTGACTAAACACTCAACTCAAATGTAATCAAAGTCAGATCCACTCGTGTCTAAAATGGGGCAGTGATATCATAAAACTGTTGTACGCTTTCAAACACTCTGTAGTTATTTTTTAACCAGTTCTATATTCATCTTGCAGGTGCAACAATGTGGCTTGTATCCTGGATTATAAATTTAAGTCATGGATGTTTAAAGTTCATATTTGTCTAATATTAGTTTACTTTTCATTAATGAAGTATGACGCTGCGCTGTCCCTATTTGTGATTGGTCAAATGTAGCTAACCCCGCCCCTTTCACGTGAACGCGCTCTCAGCTGGAGAGAGAAACCCTGGCTTGATTTACCGAGTTGATAACCAGCGTCGTACAGTAGGACCGCTTAGCGAGATCTCGTTTGTTAGGGTTAGTTAAGATAACTCAAAACATATCCAGGGTATGTTGAACTGGCTTCGTAGTACAGGCCACAGGTGGCTGCATAGCAGCGCTAATGTCAAAGACACAAACATTATACATTATATTTTTATTTTACCAGGATGCAGTGACACAAATATTTGGGAAGGCTTAGCCTTCCCTAGCCTACAGTACCCGCCGCCCCTGCTGAAACGTATTTGTGGGAACTAAAGTAAGTTTAAATGATTTAGTTAAATTAAAACGTTAGAAGAAGAAGAAGAAGTCAGGCCTTAAGAAGAAGTGGATAAATATGATTAGGCACAGGACAGACGAAGTGAAAAGCTGACAGTCTGACCCGTCCACAGCCGGCTGTTTGAGCTGCTCTGCCTGGACACAGATGGACCTCGCTGAGGACAGTGTGTGTGTTGTTGTGCTTTCCAAACAGCTGCTCTCTTTGAAGCTCAAGATCAAAACATGACCTTTGGCCTGATAACCTCACCACCTCCTCCTTAGTCTCACTGACATTTACATTCAGTGCCTCTCATTGCATTGGTACACTCCACCAGGGCTGCAACTGACAACTATTTTTATCGTCTGATAATCCGTCGGTTATTTACTGAATGAATAAATAAGTTATTAGGATGAAACACTTATCAAAAATGGTAAAACATTTTTGATAAGTGTTTCCCAAGCCCAATTGACTACTTCAAATGTTTTGCATCTCTAAACTTCAACTCCAAAAAGTGGGCAGTGGGTTTCTCCTGGATGATATTTTTCAGCCAGCACGATTCACATGAGTTACTCAGTGCTTGTATTAACACATTTATATCATTTCTACAGCCACATTCCCTCAGGTGCTGTGACACAGCAGGCCTTCACGCATATTTTTGCATTATTTATCAACAACAAGGTCAAGTTTATTTTTGATGTTGGAAAAGGTAGTCTGACGAAAACAAATCTAAGGTATCATTTATTTTCCAGAGCATAAGGCGATTCATTGGATTAAATGACTAATTTCAGGTTAATTGAATCGACTCTCTAAAATGATTATAACGCGTAAACTTGAAGTTTTGACAGCCGTGGGAAAGCTAGTAACTACCCCTTGATTGAAATGCAAAGCACACAGTGAGAATGGGAGGATGTGGTTGGTTGAGAAAGGATACTAAAGAGTTTGCGGTCCTTGGACTCGGACCTCATGCGGCTGAGCTGCTGCTTGTGGCAGCGCAGGCTCCAGGGGTTGTGGCTGATCTTCTCTGAACTCAAACCGCTGTTCCAGTCCAACATCTGGAAGGGAACGTCCGAGTGCAGCTTCGGGTCGAGCCGTGGACTCTTCAGCTCTGCAAGACTGCAGAGGAGGAGAGAGGATTATTACTTGATTGGTCATTTCTAAAAGTCCAAACAATATGTCTAAATTAAAGTCTAGATATTCAAATAAAGTCTATTTTGTGATTACAGCACATGTTCACCTACATTTTGCACTGCCAGCAGCAATTTGTCTCAGTTTGCGCACATCTTTTTCATCTAGTTGAGTCTAAAATTCATTTTGTTACATTTGCTGAAATTCTCCTTACATGCCTACAAAAATGAATTAATCAAATGCCCTGACCAAAAATGCCATACCAGCAGCTTTGAGAGGCAGCAGTTTCCTGAGCTAAACACGAACGTCCGCATTATAAAATGCGGATTTTTAGCAGGTACAATGTTTACCATGCTTACTATCTAATTTTCAAGTGTTAGCATGCTAACACTTGTCTTTGACAGCATTACATCAGCACTGAAAACAAAGTACAGCAGATGAGGAAGTCATTAGTCTGTGGAAAATGTAGAGTATATTGTCACAAAACAAAGTATTAGACAAATTAAAATGTTGACCTGAAGAAGGAAGAAAAATATGAAGATCGCTATTTAATTATAATTCATGCACTGCACTGGCAAACATTTGTAAAGACCCTACGTGAGTTTGGCTACAATGTACAGCAAATGTACGCCATAGAAATAAAACACATTCCCTCAAATGTTCATATTAAAGCTGCATTCTGGCTGCCTCTCGTTGAAAGAGTGAGCTTGGCATTATGGACTGGATCAAGACTCCAGTAGAGTCATGAACGACTACATTTCCGATTAAGCTTCGTGGCCACAGATGCAATGTTATTTCTTTTAAATCGTTCTAAATTCTATTATTTGTTTGAGGGGTCAATACATGTCTTCGACATGTCAGAAAATGGCGCCTGTCACAATTTCTCGGAGCCAAATGGGACATCTTTCAGCCAACAGACCAAACTCCAGAGATATGTAATTCACTATCATATAAAACAGAACAAATAATACAATCCTCAAGCTGGAACAAAGGTTGTTGAACGAATTTGACATTTAAATAATAAATAAGTATAAATTAACCAGTTTAAAATGTTTCCAACTCTAAAACAACTTCTTCCAGTAATATGATCTTACTTATCAGAGGCCTCTGGGTCATGTGACTCCCTCCTGTCGGGCCGATCCTCCTTGTGTTCAGAGGAAGAGCGGTGGAGGCTGCGCCGGGAGTGTTTCCTCCGCGGCTGCTCCCTCTCGGGGGGGTCACGCTCTTCGTGCTCGCAGGGCCCTCCCTCCATGTTGCTCTCCACATACGGGTAAGCCACCAGGTTGATGTAGCCGTCAGAGTCGCCCTCGAAACAAACCAGCACCACACCTGACAGGAGGGAGAAAATAAAGACAGGAAGGTCAGATACGATCTGATGATACTTCATGGCAGTTCCAAAAAAAATGTAAGACAAGAAACAATGGAAAATACATTTTACAATAACTGAAGCACAATAACACATATACTGTCAAACACATGGTTAGGGTCAGAGACATTATCGTTGGCAAACCTCAATCTGTTACCAACTAACTACCAATGGTAGTGGGCAGAGGTCCAGGCGGGCTAAATATAGACTCCTTATGGATCACTGTTGTCATGGCACTTGGACCGCCAACACCAGCAAGGTGAACTGGTGGGAATAAAGATAATCTGAGAGCTGCAGGTCAGTGTAGTGGGAATATATGCACCAAGGTAAATAGAAAAATAATAAACAGTGATGTTTAACCTTTGAATCATGACCACCTCAAAACAATCACGTTGGTGTTTGTAAGCACATTGATCGTCACAAATGTCTGCACATTAAGCGGTAGATTCACCGTCTGCTGGCAACTGGTTTAATGCGCTTTGGTGTCTAAACATATTGGCATATGATTACTGTAAGCCCCACAGCTAAGCACACACCTTTTTGAGGGTATGTCCCATTCCAAAATATCTTATATTATTAACACATTTTATATTAATAATATTCTTAGTCTATAATGTCAAAGAATATTATTTTCTTTAATTATTATGTTTTTAATGTCTAAAACAATGTGTCTAAATTACAATCTAGATATTAATTGTACAATTATGAACAAAAGTCGTTTAGTGTTTTTCGCATTATTGACTTTAAACTCATTATGATCTAAAGTTGAGTATGCAGCGGCTTCAACTGTATAGTATCTGGTATTTTGAGAATGTGAGAAATGCCTTGATGTAAACCCATTTTCAAAGAATTTTTGAGTAGAAGATATCGGATTATTGGATTTACTCAAACACCCCAGAATGCATTGCGTTTCTTGAGACTGCCAAATGGATTAAATAAAGAGCTGTTGGTTAACATAATGACGATTGGTGGCAAGTGGCAACGAAGAAAAAAGCTGGAACTAATAAAAATGATATTTAACCATAAAATATTTAGGAATTATAATTTGCCTTAAAATAACTATAGAAGATTTTAAATTAGGTAGTTTTTGGAAGTAAGCAACCGTTATGTTTAGTTTCCTTTGTGAAACCGCTATGTACTCGAGGAATGTTCGCAATGTTGAACAGCTCCTGTTTTGTTTTACATATCATAATAAAGACTGCATTATATTCATAACTAAATGTTTGTTTGTTGATGCTATCTTGTGACCTGACACATTTCTTGTGAAATGTTTTCCTCTTTTACATTGCTTGTAAGGTAAGGTCACATGTTGTAGGAGAGGGTGAGGTGTGTGTGTGTGTGTGTGTGTGTGTGTGTGTGTGTGTGTGTGTGTGTGTGTGTGTGTGTGTGTGTGTGTGTGTGTGTCTGTCAGTGTGTGTTTGGGTCTGTTACTATAGCAAATGCGAGTGAGAGCAGCTACATGATGTGGCTGGTGATGGAGAGCAGAGCAGCCAGAACACTTCACTGCGAGTAAACATCCGTACTTCCGTCTCTCTCTGGTTCTGCACCAGACACTGAACCCAGAGCAGTAAAGATAGTTTAGAGCAGTGTGTGAAATACGGGGTAGCAGGAGGGGCTGACCTGGAAGCCCATTTGATTTAAGTACAGCGGCCTCTGACCTGTTGCCCTTTGCTGTAAGTCATGCCCTTTATTTCCTCATTTCCTGTCTATCTTCAACTGTACTACTATTACTAAGGAAATAAGGCCCACAAATATTTGTTTGTAAAAAAAGGGACTTGAATTTCCCTGGAAGCAACATATCTTGGGGTGTTGCAAAAAACCTCATAATAATCAACCATTAAATTAAAACATAAAAGCTTGCTGTCAGGCAAACACTGAAAAATAGATATCTTAAGAGTGATACAGGCACATCATATCAACTTACTTGGATATATATTTAACATATTCATAATAATTCTTATCTGTAAATATGTTGACATTTTGTAGATGTTGCTATATATACACTGTCTCTTATATGTTATTCCAATTACCCTCGTTTGAATTCCTCATCTTATCCTATCTTCTCCTATCTTATTTTACCTTAATCTGATTTTGATACATTTCAATCAAATCATTTAGTCCAGCAGTAAGCAAGACGGTGTGCACATGTTTTTACTTTCACTCAAAGCATTTCTCATCCTTAAATGAATATGACAAATTGAAATATGTTTTACATTTTTTTTTTTTTTGTGTAGCTATTTGAACTGCTCATCATATAATAGGATTTGTATAGGTCAGGATATACAACAAAAATCCAGCTGGCAGCCATGGCTACAGTAATACTTCAAATCAGTGAGTTGTGACTGACCTTTATACTCTGGAGTGAACTCCTTCATGTCTGGAGGCAGAGACTCGTAGAAGCGCTGCTCTCTGCTGATCAGAGGCTTACACACCGTGTGGTCATCATAACGCATCATACTGGTGTGACCCCCCACCTGCACACACAAACACACACACATGAAAAACAGACAGAGGATAGCAAAAATGACAGAAACTCTATGGTTGTCCATATAGTGCTCTGTCGTTTATGTGCAGCTGCTTCGAGTGCTGTAGAAAATATCTCAACTCTCAGAAAATCGCTGGGGACATCATTCATGTAGACATGAACTTTATTCAAACAAAATCTTCCCGTTGTTGCTTATGGTGAAAAACAATGTCAACAAATAGAGGGTAACACCAATCGATAATAAAAAGTAAAAGGGCGATGCAGATCTGTCAAATCACGGCAGTTAGAGAGGTCATTTTGTTGTTTTTTGGATGAAACACCAGAATAAGGCTCTCCAAGCACACCGTCAGCGCATTTCTTTGGAAAAATCCTGGACGTGAAGGTTTTTTTTCTCATAAAAAGAACTGTATCATCAGCATTGAGCTGGAACATAACGTCAGCTTTTCCGTCACACACGTCATCGCCACCCACCTGGTGTATGAAGGGCTCCAGTGGGACGCCTCCTGGCCGTGATCGTAGTGTAGCCCCTCCCCCCTGCGCCACACCCTGTAACTTGTTCTCCATGTTGTTGGTGTGAGGGAGGCACATGGCTCCTGGAGGACGGACCGCGCCTCCTCCTGCCGAGGAGAGAAGGATTTAAGGTGTCAGAGAAAACTGATGTGGATTTATTTCACAGTTGAGCACTCTTTAGATGAAGTATGCTCTTACGATGGCCGATTTGTTTGAAAATACCCGTCGCCAACATATTTGATTTCCAGTGGTGCTTTACCCTTTCATTAGTTTCCTTTATTGATAGAGATTCTATTCTAGTCTATAAAATGTCAGAAAATAGTGAAATCTTTTATTTAACATGAGAATACTGAAAAGGTAACCAACGATGTATTCTATGTCCTCTGAGTATCACACTACATATCAGGGCAGTCCTGGTTTCACCTTGGGCATTGGCTCTGGAGTGCAGTGATGGGGAGGGGGGGGCGCAGGGCACCACGGGCTGCTGGGAGCGCACGCCGGCCCCTGGGGGAGGCGGCGCCAGACCGAAAAACCACCTCGCAAAGCCTCCAATCAGAGTACTCTAATCCACCGCTGGCAGCACGGGCACCCAGTCAGGATGGTGGGAAGCGGGGCAACGACTTTGGGGAGGGAGGCAGGGGGAATCAGGGTGTCAGGGTCACCACTTCCTGTAGAGAGAGGAAATACAAATTACCAGTTGAGTTTATATTATGTATATTTGTGAATCTGCTGCAACTAAAATTAATCTAAAGAGCTAAAGGAGGATCATTACAAACAGTCATCAGATCCATTGTTAATAGAACAAATATTAATGAGAGCGGTTATATTTTGGGGATAAATGCATAAATGTGTTTGACAGGTACAATAAAAAAAAATACCCTGGCCCTACACACATCCTACAAATACAATGATGATTATAAAGTAATAAGTACAATTTAAATAAGTGTATATACATACATACACATTCAATATTAAAAAAACTAAAATATATATTTATAATATAAAATGAAATACAAATGATTAAAATGATTATTTCTTAAGATGGGTGAAGTTATCTCAGGGTTCTTTTTCAAAAAATGGGTTGAGTTTGATTTGAACTGCATGTTCAGAACAGCCTGACAAAAACACATTTTAGGACAAACTTCCTGACACATGATGTTTCAACCCGCTATCAAAATAAAACACAAACACCGTTTTCTGGGCATGTTGCCACAAACAGTTGACATCAACTGTTTCAGCACGTCAGCATTGAGAGACTGTCCCACAGAGGAAAATCGTGTGTCCGCACGCACACACAGATCATCTTCAAATGCAGACACACATTTTTATTCTGTACGTAGTTAAATTAGGAGGACATGCAGCAGCACTGTCTGTCAGGGTCAGAAAATATGTCTTGTTGTAACTCATTTGGTTTATAAATCCAAAAAAATGTATGGGTAAATAAAAAAAAAAACTACTATATCATTAGGAACACTTCCTGAAACACACTTCACTCCCCGACACATGTTGAAAGATGCAGTTCATGGTTTTGTTTACCAACCGCATATGTCAACCCAGCTCTCTGTTGATTTAAAACTCTACTAATTAAATATTAATACTAAATCATTGTCAATAATAACCTAAAAGGATTATTTGATATTCAGGATTTACTGAATACAACGAGCAGCAGAATGAAATCAAAGCCCGTGTGTTACTGAGTATCATCCAAAACAAAAACCACAATAAATGATTAGCATTTGAAACCATGACACAGGATGCGTAAACAATGCGAGTACAAAACCATTTTTGTTTTATTATGACATCAAACATCTAAAGACGTGCCACAAATATAATGGAGCTTGTTTCCAAATGTGAATTCATTCAAGAAAGAAATGACATTTTGAATTGATGTTCCACGTAGTGGAGAATAAAGGATGAGTTCAAAAGCCACATCGAGTTCAGCTCTCACACATGTTCAGGTGTCCAAATATCAGGGCCATATTTTCAAGATTTCCCCTCCTCTCCTCCCTGCCTGCCTTTTCTCAAATCCCCCTCTACCTCCTCCTATCCAATCCCCATATATCCCATGATGCACCTCAAGGCTCCCCCAATATGAGTCATCCTTGCCTGCCTGAAGACATGAGAAGAAAGGAAGAGGAGGACATAAGAGAACAAAGACGATTGGGGAGGATTGGCAGGCTTGGCAGGCTATCATCATAGCCTGCTCGTGTGTGTTTGTGTGTGTTTTTGAAGGGCATCATCTGGTTAGTGTCAAGGCCACGGCAAGGCACGGCGCTCAATATCACGATGAGGGCTCAACCTAATGGAGTAACACCAAACATAGTCTCCATATGCAACAGTTCAGACATGGCAAAACATTATTATTTTTTTTTAAATAACTCTTCTTTAGCAAGACAGACCTTTTTTTAATAACATTCCAAATGTAAAGTTAGAAGTTTCTCCAAAAATGTATGTGGTCCGTTAAAGGGCCCTATTATGCTTTTTGAGGTTTTCCCTTTCCTGTAGTGTGTTAGAGGTTTGTGTGCATGTAAATGGTCTGCTGAGGCTCAAATCCCTGTGTTCCCTCCAGAGGGACTTTCTGTCCCACACACCCTGCCTGAAACGCCTCCATTGGACTCCTTTGCTGTGAAGGCCTGGTTATAATAATATAGTTGTATAAAGAGTTTTACTGGAAATGTAGGGTTTCCCCAACGCAATGTTTCAATTATCAAGCCTAGCCAATCAATGCTGACTTGAAACTAACTTCAACTCAATGCAGTCTCCACTTGATTGTGTAAGTCTCTACTTGTTTTCACAAATTGAAGGCTTCTCTGATTAATTACCAAGAAGCAAACATACATTGATGAACCAAACTCCTGCTGAGTTGAATCAGAAAGATCGGTATTTTCTTTTACTACATGACCTTTAAAACATCTCTTAGTTCATTTCATGTGTCCTTTGCTTGTTTTCCCCTAAAGGTTAATACGTCTAATATTAGATTTTTTCTAGCATAAGCAACGGCACATGTGATTTCAGGCAATTCATTGATCAAAAGAATATTACTCTGCAACTCTGTATATAATCAGTTTGTCATTTTTATCTTCTTCCAGCTTCACAAATGTGCTGATTTGCGGTTTTTCTTTGTATGTGTTTATTTGACCATTGACAAAAACAATTTGAATTTGTCACTTTTGACACAAATTGAGGTGGCACTTTCATATATTCATATATTTATATATATATATATATATATATATATATATATATATATATCTATATAT